CAATTCGCAGGAGCAAACTGCACGCGATAAAATGGCAGTATGCAAAGCCAGCAAGGATGTTTGAAAAATAATTTACGGTACGAAAAATAGAGAGAAATGGAGAATCATTTCTGGAATGTTATTACCAAGAAGGGGCACAAATCCTAAACATGACAAAAATACCGAGAGATCCGATACTGGAGACAGCAGAAGCAATGATCAAAGTGAAGGGTTTAAACCCAGAGTACGTAACAAATTCATACTCAATAAACAGAGACAGATACAAAAGCTACATACTGAGATCAAAAAATAAGAACCAATTAATTATTACCATATGGGGATCAAGGGACAGCAGGTTACCTAAGGAGAACCTACCCAAATTTTGAAGAAAATTTAAAAAAACTAGATATTAGTGACATCCTCTTAGAGATACCTCTGCAAGAGAAAAGCTTTAGGAAAAGTTTAAGATCAAAGTCATAAACTCTAAATTGGATACCACTACTTAAAATAATCTACAATGGGAATATGATCTTCGAAATAGAAAAAAAAAAGCAAATAAAGAGAAATGACAAGAGCTTTTTACTTATGTTGAATTTTAACAAAGACGTAGTATAAGGTCCGTATTTATGTAAGAAGTGCAACAGATGTGGACTAACCGTGCATACACCACATAAATGTCCAATAAACCTAGGAAATCCAAAACAGCAACAACAGCAACAGCAGAAATAAACTAACCAACGTACACCAGACGCAAGAACTGAAATAGAACAAACAAAACAGCAACCAAAACCAAAAAGAAAAAAAAAACGAAAAAGAAATCAACAAATAATAAACTTACATGATCACCCCCCCAAATAAAACAACAGACAAAGCAACAGGTACAAGAGACACAACCTAAACATTAACAGCTAACAGAACAATAACTCCTACAAAATCAACATTTCCAATCAAAGCAAAATCTACAAACTCTCTCAGCTCTTCAAAAGTAAACTTTGTATGCATTTAATTTGCGTCTGAACTGAAGTTAAATTCGTAGTGGGTCCACTCGGCAGACGGAAAACTAATGCATGTTATCATTCATTGCGTATGCATCATTATAGTGAAATATGGCAAATTACATGAAGTCACATCTTTACTTCCGTTGATGAAAGAATCTTGAAAAGTGCATCCTATTTATATAATAACATGGTATCGCAGCTTTATATTCGTTACTGAATAATATTATAAACCGTGTTTATTACGTATACAAGATATCGGATATTGTGGAATAACTAGAGTGTGGTAAACTTCCTTATGCTTCATTTGCAATATACCATATAAGGTTTTAGTGCACGTATAGATTATCCATACAACATACCAGTAATTAAAATTAATAATGAACAAGATTACAATTTGATAGTTTATGGTGTCCATGCTTATTCATTTCCATTTATGCATGAATTGTATGTATGTAACATTACAAGAGTTGATATAGGCATTCTGTTAGTTGAGCACGGCATCAATAATGTCGGTGTAACAGATAAGCATAATTATTTACAAGTATAGACTGGATAAAAATGCACATAAAGATAGCAGTTTTGAAGAATAATATTTATGAAAATCAAGTGCTACCTTCTAGAACTTGAAACTATATAATCCATTCTTTTAGAAAAGATGCAGATTTACAAACTGCAAATATTGATAAACACGGAAAAAGGCAGCATCCATTATGATATCAAAAAGAAATAAGGGGGAACAGAATGAAGAGGAATACATTATGCATTGATGTGGATAAATATACAGATTTATTTTGGACTAAATTTACAGAAGACTTTTAAAGATCTCGTAAACACTACATGGTCAATTTTCAGCAAATTAGGATGAAGATAATCAATATTAAGGAAAATCGTAGTTTGATATAACAAAACACCTTGTGACGTAGCTCATGACGCATGAGAGATAACCATTGAAATAACAAAAGAAGTGATGACATGTAACTTAATTGTGAAATTATTCAAATGTTTTTAAAGGCGGGAAGAAATGATGCAATCTTCAAAACAGGTGTATCTATTTTTGATGTTTTTTCTTTTTTCTTCATAATTATTATATAATATAATTATATAATTATATAATATATATATATATATATATATATATATATATATATATATATATATATATATATATATATATATATATATATATATTGTATCTAACGACAATTTATAAAAATAGAATATTATATCACATTTAATTTTTCTTAAAAGACAGAAAAATATTTAAGGCAACTTTGCTGCCGTCCTATGAATCAATTTGCTGATACAAATATAAAGCAATCGTGGGAAGAAATTAAACAGGACAAAATAGAATAAAATAACCTGATTTGAAAGAACGGTAAACTGAAAGTTCTGTCAACACAATAAATAAACAAGCATGAAAAAGATATAATTGCTAAAGATTGTATACTAATCAAGTTGAGTCTATGTTGGTATTTGCATTGTGACAAGGAAATTCCTGTCAAAAGAGCTACATTATTGACTGAAATACAGCATAATACAATAAGGGTTTCTTCTTTTAAAAAGTAATTCCTATCACTTTGACACCATGACTGGGATGAGCTGACTGAGATAATCAGACTGAGATAAAAAAAAATAACTAAGGTTTGAAAATTAGCAAGATTTCTCTGTCGCACGAATAAGAAGCAATGTTCTTTCAGCCTACCTTGAAATCATATTATTTTAATGTCTTAAATGCAGTCTCAAAGATAGAAACCAGAAAGAACGAAGGAAAATGTTTACAAAACAGAAAAGTTAAAGATTTGCTGCAAAGAGGAAAGTACATTTCAGCTATCTCAAAAAGCTAATTGTATGTTGTGGAATGAGTAACATGACTTAAAAAAAATAGACTATTGAAGTTTTTCACTTTTACATTTTCTTTCGATAATGAACTGCATAGCTTTCGCCTGCAAACAAATGTCAGCTAAACGTTAATCAACAACTGAATGTATCAAACAGCTGAAAACTTTGCAGTCATTGTAACCTACAGACTGCTAGGCAAAATTGCATTGACCTAAATGCTATCAACCATACAAATTGAAGAATTTGCATAGATAATCACTCCAGATTGCTTCGTCTGATTTATAATTTATTGCCTAATAACAGATGATCAATAAACGGTATTATCTCACTATTGTTAATTTGTCGGGAGAAAATATATCTCATAGTGAATGAATGGCTGGAAAACATGTCAACGTAGAAATAAGGGATGTGGAATGTTTAAAACGCAACTAAAAACGTAGACATGATCCAGAGAAAAATTTATATATATATATATATATATATATATATATATATATATATATATATATATATATATATATATATATATATATATATATATATATATATATATGCAATAAATTTACGACGAACAATGCGAAACTAGTAACTAACAAGCCTGAGCGCTTTCAACTATTAATGAGTCGTTTTCAAAGGCAAATACAAAACATATACAAACCAAACAAATACACACAAACATGTTGTGTTTGTAAAACTCTACATAGCTGTCTCCACGTGAGTTAACCCTATAAATACATTGTCTCAACCAGCCAGTGCGCTTGAATGGGTTGTTATTCGCCATATGATTTGTATTATATATATATATATATATATATATATATATATATATATATATATATATATATATATATATATATATATATATATATATATATATATATATATATATATAATGTTAAATTGTTATGGCTCACTAGAAAGAAAACAACAAAGTCATCTATATAATATGATATAGTTTGCTAATTTGTTTAAATCTTTACACATCTATTTCGAACAAATTAATAATACAATTAACTATTTCGATTTATGTGTTTGTCCATTAGATAATATCATCTACGTTGACTTTGTTTCATTAAACATATGTTTTATTTTATAAATACATATAATAATATTTAACATATCGAATTTTAAAATAAAAGAAGAAATACTAAATGTAAGATGAACATAATTTATGCAATGAATACACGTACAATGTTTCTCAAATTGAGTAAATAACGTAAGATGTCTCAGTCAGTTTATACATGTATGTTTTGATAGACAAATGGTGCCATTTTGAATGATAATAATGAAAGCGATATCAGAACATTGTAAGTTCATGTTGATTTTAAATTAAGTTTTGTTGGCATTAAAAGAGCTGAACCAAATCGAAATTCTAATTCATAGATATTGCCAAAGAAATTAAACAATATTGTGCATCAGTCTTGTCTAAAGAGCGATTCTACATATTCTGTGATGTCATTCATATATTGCAAGCGGTATGAGAAAGAGCAGGTGCGATAAATAAAAATACCCAAAGTTAATGCAGCAGAGGATAAAATACGGACATATGATTAAGAAGTGGTATGGAACAACATTACTACGCCACTCTAAATATAAGTTTTAAGGATCCTTCAATAAAGTCTCATCTCTAAATCACTGAATCTTCTTTCTCAGTCTACTTTCAGGGTTCATGTCTCAGATATATACAGGAATTTTTGATGTGATGAAGGAGCGCAAAATCTTGATAATTACACATGCATAATGTTGCCGTCCTTCGAAATAGGCATCAGCCTAGCAATTACAGTTGTCTGCGCAATCCTGGAAAGAATCTTCATCATAGGGTATATCATCTAGATACTTGACGTTTGTTTGTGTGCATAAATTATGCACAATCAGATATTTTTTTTTACTTTTGATGCCACTGGGGTTGTTTGTCATTAGCGTGGTCACTTTGGTGGTGTGGTGTGTGGTGTTTATAATTTTTAACGTAGCTTCAACAATTTTTTCAGTCATATCGCTACGATGTCTGCAGTGTGGCAGTTTATAGTGATGTCCAGCATTGGGGCATCATGCCGCAGACATGTAGCTTGATGTCCCACCCAGTCACATTATCCTGACACCAGGCCGACCAGTCGTAACACTAACCTCTTAATACTGACCGTCAAGCGAGGCAGCTGTTAGTACCATTTTTGTAAGTCTTTGGTATGACTCGATCGAGGATCGAACCCACGACATCCCGCATCCGAGGCGGACGCTTTAACCACTAGACCACCGGAGCGGTTGGGGCTTTGGTCACTTTGGGGATGATGTCCATCCCTTGCCTTGGTTCTCTTCTTGGTCTAATTCTAAGCCATCGTTATGGTAAGCGAAAAGCGGATTAGTGTTTGTCATGCCTACAGCACCGCCATTCCCATCATGGTCTTCCTAGGAACTGGACCTAAGTCTTTACCGGTAGACGTGAAAGAGAGCGTGAGAGAAAAAGGTCCACTATATGACCCCGACTATGGTTTTCATTCAATATCTAATGTCGTCATTGAAGAGAACGTCGATAGTTGCCTTGTCATACAATTTTTCTATGCGCTTATGTTGTATATCCACATGGTGATCAACGATACTGCGCGCTATACCCTATTGAAAGCCTTGAAGATATATAGTTCTTGTTGATGTTGCAAGTACTTTTCACAGAGGATTCTAAGAATGAAGATATATTCTATAGTGCTATGTCCTGCACGGAAGTCTGCATGTTCTGCAGCAATGCTGTGCTATGCTTACGGTTTCATTCTGCAGAGGCTGATCACAAGATAGACCATTTCACGTTTATTATCCTACCCTTGAAAACACCAGAGAGCGTCTCGGTGCAACTCACTTCCGGATAGTTCAATTAATAAAGTTGGCAGATGTAGATCAAGAAAATGTGACAGACCACTCACATTCCGCAAAAAGATCGATATATCACTATCTTAAAATTTTGTTATCAATATTTGATCAATTGTTTTTCATCCTTTATTTTTTTCAGTAACTTGCGCTTTTGTCAGCTTTCAAATAAATGTTCTCTGCCAAGTTAAATACTTCATTATCTTTCCATTACTACATCATGCTCTAATTTGTATTATTTGATTGTGCGAAAGTGTATCGCTGCTTATAATGATTTTTACTGCAATTTATCTCACTTGAAGAATAATGAAAATATGTTTATTACAACTTTAATCATTACAGTTAATGGAGGTTGAACGACAACGAGAAATAGGTCTAACTTCTTAAAGGAGACCAGAAATAAAATTTTCGATATATATGTAATTCTCTACAAATTTTAATTCGACTGTCATGTTTATGAATTAAAAATCGTAGGCGGAGAGTGATTATTTTGTGCGGAAATTACCAAGATTCCGTAAATTGCAAACAGTAATATAGTAAAAAAAATAAAATATAAAATTGTCACCAATTAGCTTAAATCACATGAATGATCACTGTGAATGCTGTATAATTTTCTCTACAAACAAAATCGCATCTCCATTTTTGCCAAAGAAATTCGGCAAGTTTACATCTGACATATCTCTGCCGTATATGTAAAGTTTTATTACCATGATTAAATTACAAGAAGAATTAAAACAATGATACTATGCAGCATATATATATATATATATATATATATATATATATATATATATATATATATATATATATATATATATATATATATATATATATATATATATATATATATATATATATATATATATATATATATATATATATATATATATATAATCGATTTAGACTGTTGCATTTATGTTAATGTTCATCATGTTATTCATGAAATAACTTGAATTATATCTAGGAAGGATATATTTTTTCAAAATGCACAAATGTCATCCACGGTTGAACAGACAGGCTCACGTATGAGTCTCCTTGATGATCATTTTAATTGTATTTCCTTGAACGATTGCGATTTTTAGAGTATACAATTTGAAGAAATATTGATATCATATACTCTATGTATGTATGTGACATTTGTGGCTCTTACCTATCTGCCTGTCTGTCTATAAGTCTGTCTGTCCGTCTCATTTCATCTGGTGCATGAATATGTAGATGTATGTATATGCTTGAATGAATGTGTTCGCATACGTATATTACCTAAACATACTTCTGGTTAAAACGAGCATATATTGGTGCTAAGATAGAAAGAATGACTGATAGATAAAGACAACATATATGAATATTTGTGACTATCCATTAATTATTGACTTGAAGAGCATGTTCTTACAAACAGTCTCTTTTAAATCATCCTGTCTGCAACTTGACATCCGGTCACGTGGATCAATATTGATTTTAAAGGCGAACCAAAGTAATAGGACGGAATCTGTGATATAATTGGATCTTTAAAACTTATATATTTGATGCATGGAAAGTCAATTAGAATTAAATTAAATTTAAAAAAGCCGTTTCAGAAGAATTTTTTTGGTTGCAATCAGAAATGTTTTCTAAAGACTCCATCAAATTTGAGGGTTATTACAACGTGTCAGCATTAGCAAAGAAAAATCATGCCGAAAGTTAATTGCATGCACCGTCTGATGCTCGATGTTTTAAGTTTTGAGAAAACCAGTGAGAATATAAATAATTTAACATTAGGTTGAATAAATGCATGGCTATATTTGACTGGACAAGGTAAGAAAAAATACGTGTATGAGGAAATATTTTTGATTGTTTAAAGATGCGAAAACCCTTCTCCCCACCAACAAAAAGAAAATGAAACAAAAAAGACGTCTTTGGGCATGCTAATAATATGAATTTTGTAAGATATGTACATCCAAAAATGAATAAATATTCATTCTGCATTAATTACATTCCTTTATCTTTATAATAGCCAATGTAATTATTGCTTTGTTAGGTTCCTCTGAATACATTTATATATTGTTTTCCATTTAAAAGAACAAAATATTTTTGGTCTAAAATATTCAGTATTACAGATAAGCTGGCGTATCTAACTCGTGTTATAATTTGCTTATCGCACTCGTGTTATCGATTTCTTAACTAGTGTTATAAACGAACTATTAGCCTTGATAAAATTACTGAGAAAGAAGGACATATCAACGTATGAAAAATGAAAATTATTGAGATAATTGTCGTTAAAGTTATGCAGCAAAAAATGTGCAATAAATGTTTCAAAATCGGAGAGCAAAATTAAATGTTCCTACAGATGTATCAGAATTTATTCGAACCGCGAGTAATCGGCACCAACCGCCTTGCCTGCACGCACCAGCCCATATACTCTCACGACTAAGCACGCATCACCAAAAAAGTGATGGCACTGAATCGGTGTTATATAAGCTTGTGCGTAGCAGACGATGGGTGTCTATCACTCGCAGACCTGGGTTCGAAACTTGATAGAGTACGAATTTAATTTCTCTAACCTATATGATAGTATTGTTTGTATTAAACTACCACTATTATCATGATTCTACTACAGAATCCAGGGATATCACTGTCTGTTCTTTCTGGTATATATGTATAACTCTCTCTCTTCTCTCTCTCTCTCTTTATATATATATATATATATATATATATATATATATATATATATATATATATATATATATATATATATATATATATATATATATATATATAAGATACTATGAAAGTGTGGACACCGAATCTAATGATCTGATTTAATGTCTACAGTTATTCTCCTAGTATGAACAAAATATGTTAGACAGATATTTATTGGTTTAGCTATAATGATCTGTATGTAGTACAGCTAAGATTCTGAACGATTCAAAACTGGAAATATTTTGTGGGCATGCGCATTGGGGATAAGAGAGGTAATTTTAAGCGCTACGATCGGAAATTCCATTGCGACTGTGAAATGCTCCATAACCCTGCTAGAGTGACTGATGAGACCATTTGTTCAGTAGTTCTAGCAAAGCTGCAGATTCCCCCTTTTTTTAGGAAGGGAGCCATTATAGTGTTTGTTATTCTTGTAGACACTTGTTCACACTGTACATTTCAAATGGTATCGTTCTACTATATGTAGAGTTTTAAACAGGTAAATAATGAAATGCAACTTATTGAAGAAAGAATCTATGAAAAGAAACTATTATTTGATGTTCAACTCAAACTAAGATGTATTATCTTTTAGGAAATGATGTTTAAATTTTTTGACAGTATTATAAGGTACTGGTGATATTTCTGTAAGTGTGGCAATAAGTCATTGTAGCGATATCCATATCTTAAATATAAATAACGAATAACTCGAAGAGACAAATCCTTTTTAAATTTGTTCGTTTAACTGACCACAGCAAAGGTAATACTGCTCCAGCACACTATGTGACTGACAAAGGGCTTTCGACCAAGACATACTATTTTGTACATTTAATTAGTATGTGGCAGAACGAGATAGAATTAGACAATAAAATTTTTAATGAAAGGAGACCAAAGCAAACGGCAGATTGGATAAAAAGAATCTAGATACATGACTACTTGAATGAGAGATGAAGGAAACAAGGATTTAAGTTCTCGAAGAATCTGAATGAAGATTTTGCGCTTTACATTTCTAATCACTACCTATGTGACGATTCAGAAAATTAATGTAAAATATGCAAAATGGATATACAGCCCAGACATTTGTTTAAACACAACAGTTAAACTTAAACGATATGTATTAACCTTTCGATGTTCAAAGTAGAAATACATATAGTCAATAAAACTATGATGATCGTTAATTAAAGTTTATTTGTTGAAAGGTTACAATTTGAAGTTATCAAGTTTTCATCAATCGTGCATGTTAATATGGCGAGATGGTGTTTATTTCTGCATAAGCTGCTATTAAAATTTGCTAGATAAATACGATAATACCTAACTTAATGCAAGCAGATAAGGATATAGAGTTATATACCTGAATCTAACACATGCATTGTATCAGAACAACACTGACCAAGGTGCATTGTTTGTCTTGTTTTATACGAAGGTAAATTGAGATTAAAACAGGGTAGCAATGTACACAACGGGTAGTGATACACACAACGAGTAGTAATGTCCACAACGGGTAGTATGCACACAACGGCTAGTATATTTGGGAAGGACAACAACATGTCCGAAGAAATATGCCATCTCGTTAAGTTGAATGAATATAAGATCTTCATTGCATGCACAGAGTGTTGATTCGCAAATTCTACTAGAGGTGAGAAATTATGAACGGTACTGCTATTCAGTTTGCAGTCTCTGGAAACAAGCTTAGAATATCAAGTGATTGTCAGATAATATTAGATCATTGTCGAC